CTGGATTCGACCACCATTCCAATGTAAATGAAAAGGCGACCTCGCATTTCCTGCGAAAACACCCCGCTCTCGACGTTTCTATTACCAGCGTAGCGCTTGGCGAGAGCACGTCCACCAACCCCGTGGTTGTCGCTCGTGCTTTCACTGATCACTGGAAGTCACATCATAGTGTCTCCCCCTGATGCTCCTCGTCCGAACATGGCTGTTCGAGCCAAAGTTGTCGATCATGTAACGAAGTCGCTCACCGTTGCACAACGCACCGACCTGGGTCGACCCATCGACTCCGCTGAGCTCGGGGCAGCTCTGCAATCGATGAAGCCCAATACGGCACCAGGCCCGGATGGGTGGCCGGTGGCCTTCTTTCTCACTGCGCCTTCCACATTTGCTGCCATCCTACCCGAGTTTTCAATCATCAGTGGTCCAAATTCGGATGCCTTCTCCCCCAGCAGCGCCTGAGCGCGGTGATTCTGCTCTATAAGAAGGGCCAACGAAACGATCCGGGCAATTTCCGCCCCATCGCACTCATGCCCGTTGAAGTAAAGATCCTATCACGTGTACTTGCAGTCGTCTGTCCACCGTCGCGCCCACCATCATCCATCCAACGCAGGCAGCGTTTGTCCGCGGCTGCAGCATGCGGGACAACATCCACCTCCTAACCGCCCAACAGCACAAAGCGACGCGTGACAATGTGGAATGGCACGCGATCTTCCTCGACTTTGCCAAGGCTTACGACTGCGTCGACTGAACCATTCAGTTTGATGTCATGGCCAAAATGAACACCGGGCCCAACTATCTCGAGTGGGTCAAGCTGCTCTACACCAATCCTGTCGTGCGACCGCTGCTGAACGACTCCCTCGGGCCAGCCATACACCCGAACCGTGGAGACAAGCAAGGGTGTTTCTTGTACTGCCTCTTGTTCAACCTCTACATAGCAAGATCTCTTGAAGCAACAACAGGGAAAAATAGATTTGGCTCACAAATTTATGTGACATTGAAGAACTGTGTGCCTGCTGGTACCTTGAGATGTTAACGCCGCTGTAATCCGATATTCACTACAAGCCCAGTTGGAGTTCTGCTCTGACAATGTTGCTGCGCTTCTGTGAATTTCGCAAGTATTATTTGCAACACAGACGATCACTGTATCCTGCATCTACAGCTGAGTTCTCGACAAGATTTAGATTGGCCCTTTGGTGGAGGAACTTCAAGATGTGCGCTCGGTGATAAACACTATGCAGTGTGACGATTTGTCCCTTGCTGGTGTTCGAGTCCTTTTCAACGCAGTGTTGGAGGACCACGTTGCAATGATTAGTCATCTCGATCCTGATGTAAAAATCGCTACTCTTTCTATTTTTATCGGGGTTGTCAAAATCCTCAACGGAGCGGAGTCGACATTACTCCAATTGAGTTGGAATGTATTGATCCACTCCTTCATGGCACGGCTGTTCATTTTTTATCTACTGGAAAGCTCCCGTTTACAGAACGGGCCAGAAAAGCTCTAACATACGTAAACAGTTGCTACTTTGACTGCCGTTTTCTATGTCCGACGCCATACCCTCGCGAACGCTTTTTCTACCGGAAAGCTCGCCAATCTGACTTCC